AATGCCGTGACCCCTGAATACAGTCCCTCATGTTGTGGTGACCCCCAACCATAACATTTTTTGTTGCTATTTCATAACAGTCATTTTACTATTGTTATAAATCATAATGTAAATATCAGATATGCAAGATGTATTTTCATTCACTGGACCAAACTGGGCACAAATACCCAATGCACCCATGTGTAAATGCTAGTGGAGTTGGGGGAGGATTGATTTTGTAATTTGGGAGTTGTAGTTGCTATAGTTGTTCACCTATAATCAAAGAGCATTCTGAACTCTACCAGCGATGGATTTGAACCTAATTTGCCACACAGAACTCCCATGACCAACAGAAAACACTTGAAGAGTTTGGTGGGCATTGACCTTGCGTTTGGGAGTTGTAGCTCACCTATATCTAGAGAGCATTGTGGACTCATGCAATAGTGGATCTGGACCAAACTTGGCACGAATACTCAATATGCCCAAATGTGAAACTGGTGGAAGGGGGAAAATAGACCTTGACATTTTGAGGAGTTGTAGTTGCTGGGATTTTTAGTTCACCTACAATCAAAGAGCATTCTGAACCACCAATGATAAATTGGAAGTAGATGGATTCAGTATGGTCTTCCTCAATCCAAGGTCCTTACAATTGTGTTGAAATACCTCCCATCATAGATGACTTTAAGGCAGGGGTCCTCAAACTAAGGCCCGGGGGCTGGATGCGGCCCTCCAAGGTCATTTACCCGGCCCTGCTCAGGGTCAACCTAAGTCTGAAACGACTTGAAAGCACACAACAACAACAACAATCCTATCTCATCAGCCAAAAGCAGGCCCACACTTCCACTGAAATACTAATAAGTTTATATTTGTTAAAATTGTTCTTCATTTTAATTATTGTATTGTTTTTAAGTGTTTTTTTTGCACTACAAATACGATGTGTGCAGTGTGCATAGGAATTCATTCTTTTTTTTTTTCCGAATTATAATCCGGCCCTCCCACAGTTTGAGGAACTGTGACCTGGCCCTCTGTTCAAAAAGTTTGAGGACCCCTGCCCTAAGGGGTCTTGACCCCTAGGTTGAGAAACACTTGTTCTAGAGGCATTCTTTCCTGGAGAGAATGCCTCTAGACCATGGCCATATAGCCCGAGAAAGCCTACAACAACCCAGTAGTTCCAGCCATGAAAGCCTTCGACAATACAACAAACACGCTCTTCCTTTTTGTTGTTGATTTAAAGTTATATAACAAGAAAACAGGCAAACGTGTGCCTTCCAGTTTGACATGGAAGAGCAAATACAAACAGTTGCAACACATTAGAGCTAAGTATTCCTAAAAAAATTAAAAAGAGAAGCAATAATTATCAAATGACAACATGACATATGAAGCATGCAGACTTAATTTGAGCCATAGGCCTCCACGGCCAGAAACATAGCCCCAAAACCTATTTTTGGATACTTCCTATTAGGAACATAATAAGAATGAATGTCTCTGAGCATGTGCAAAGTGCCGTTCCCTTTCCTACAAATCACCAAGTCATTCTAACTACCTGACTAAAAAACCAGAAAGAAAAAAAAACAATGAAAGAGGAGAACATTTCATGAGTATAGAAAAGTGGGAAATAAAGTGAGAAATAAAGAAATCAACTAAATTCTAAAAGAAGAAGAGAGAGAAAAAGAAAAGAAACAAAGAAAAAAAATCCTAAAATAGAGCAAGAATGGTACTTCCTATCTCCGCCTCGAAGAATTAATATCTAAGGCAGTGTTTCTCAACCTTCCAAATGCCGCGACCCCTTAATATAGTTCCCCATGGTGACCCCCAACTATAACATTATTTTCGTTGCTACTTCGTAACTGTAATTTTGCTACTATTATGAATCGTAATGTAAATATCTGATATGCAGGATGTATTTTCATTGACTGGACCAAATTTGGCACAAATACCTGATACGCCCAAATTTGAATACTGGTGGGGTTAGGGGGCAGAAACCCATGTTGAATAACTGAGTGTTGGAGGGTTGGGGGGGGGGGTTGGGGTGGGGGGAGAGAGAGGGGTGGTGGGGGGGGGGGGGTGATTTTGTCATTTCGTAGTTGTAATTGCTGGGATTTATAGTTCACCTACAATCAAAGAGCATTCTGAACTCTACCAACGATGGCATGGAACCAAACTTGGCACACAGAACTGCTGTGGCCAACAGAAAATACAGAAAGGATTTGTTGAGCATTAACCTTGAGTTCTGGTGGAGTTTGGGGAAATGAGTCCACATTTGGGAGTTGTAGCTGCTGGGATTTATAGTTCACCTACAATCAAAAGCATTCTGAACTCCACCAACAATGGAATTGAACCACACCTGGCACACAGGACTCACATGGCCAATAGAAAATACTGGAAGAGTTTGGTGGGCATTGACCTTGAGTTTGGGAGTTGTAGTTCACCTACATCTAGAGAGGGGGGGGGGGATGTCCATATAGTAAAAATACTGAAGGGGATGAAGAGTTTTTGGAGTGATGTGGTGGGAAGTGAGGAAGTTTGGTTTGGTGGAGGGTGGGGGGCAATAGACAGGGGAGGGTGTGGCACCTTTAGTTTGGGAGTTAGTAGTTCAAGCACAACTACGAATCTATAAGAGCAAACATGTGAAGGACAACAGATGGGGGCTTGACGGAGGGGACGAGGATTACTCAAACATTATTGGTCTCGGAATCAAGACTTGCATGAACATGGAGGGAGAAATCAATCGAAATTATTGCCGAGGGATTCCGCAAAGTGTTTAACGAGAGGAAAGAGAAGAGGAACATGGTTGATTTGGGGGGTGACAATGCAAAGCAAGGGTGGCAGGGGGCAACAACTTTGGGCAACTGAGAGGGGGAAAGTTGCT